CTCCATAGCACAGTCATTTAGAGTGTCTAGAAACTCAATCTCTTTTTCTCGACTAGAACACATATTGACCCAATCAATGTGTGGGTAGTTAAAATCACCTATTACGACACAGTGTTTTTGTCTAGCTGCTATCTTTAATTCATTCATCATTTTATACTCCTCCTCTATCTTTTGATCTGGTGGGCGATAACAAACTCCCAGTGTTAAGTTTCCTTTTGGCCCCCCTATTTCAACCTATAGAACTTCCAGAAGCGAATCCAATTCTCTTAGCATCTCAATCTTTCTGGACTTTATACCCTCTCTGACATACAGAGCCACCCCACCTCCAACCCTTCCCCCCCTATCCTTCCGATATAATATATACCCGGGAATCACCATATCCCACTGATTTTCCTCATCCCACCAAGTTTCTGAAATACCCACAATGTCTATTTTTCCCTCCAACACCAAGCACTTGACTTTATACCCTCTCTGACATACAGAGCCACCCCACCTCCAACCCTTCCCCCCCTATCCTTCCGATATAATATATACCCGGGAATCACCATATCCCACTGATTTTCCTCATCCCACCAAGTTTCTGAAATACCCACAATGTCTATTTTTCCCTCCAACACCAAGCACTCCAACTCCCCGATTTTACCTCGGACACTTCTAACAGATACAAAAAGTAAAGCCTATCAGAAAACAGTGCTAAAAGTAATAGAGAGCATTCTTCCACTAAACACTTTTTACAGCAAAATGCAAGCATGGCACAGTTAAATCTGAATGGTACATGTGCACTTAAATGGTTAGTTTCTCAGCAATGAATATAAAAGCAGGGCCCTTGTCACAGTTTTGCATCTAGATTAACCTGAGTTTTGAGAGTAAAGTGTGATTTGGCTATTAGGTTTCTAATACATATTGACTAACTGAATGCAGTTTTATTTTATGCAGTGTATCATGTGATTGCATTATATGTAGTGACATCAACTAGGCTAATATTTGCTATAATATGGAAAGAGGGGGAAAGAACTTCAGAGGAAGGTCTTACTGAGAAAACTGAAAGATTTTTACGTCTTGATAGCACTTACAGCTATCCAGAAAAATCACAATTAGATCTATAATGGAAAGAAGTTCTATACCCTATGGAATCAACTTTGATACAGAAGTAGTTTTGCTTCTCCTAGGGGGAAAAACACATCATGAGTAAGGTATCTTTGGTTGACTGTATATTTGTATGATTTATAGTAGCAAACAACATTCTTTTTATGCCTTTTCTCACTTTTATATAACAATTAATTTTAATATGATTTTTTCTATATTTTTAGAAAGCATTCCAAAATTAAAAGGTGCTAACATTAATAATAGGTTATTAAATGATGGTGGTCAGCCTTCAGTGTTCCATCCTAGTGGTCAGCCCATAGATCTAGCTGTTCTTTTTTTTTTGGCCCACCCAAAGGGGACTTTTTTATTTTTTGCATTTTCTACACACTACAATTATGGGATGGGGGAAGGGATACTAATACCCTAACACTAATAATATGGGTGATGGGTAAAGGAGATGTAATACACATATCTACTTGATAGGGAAAGGAAAACTACCATTCTACCATTCTAATCTATTTCATCTACTGGATTTGGGGAACGGAAAAAGCCTAATACATGTCACAATCTGAATAGTTGAAAAAAATGCTTTTTAACCTACTATTACAAGTTATACAGAGATTTGGTTCAATTATGATAGTACACATTTAATAGCTTAACACAATTACTGCCTTTAGTACTATTGTCTTAGTTCTAGAGTCTTTTCTTCTTGCGTTTCTTTGTTTTCAGGAGTTTTGGAGCAGCCTCTCCTTTCTCTGATTCAGATTATTCTGATGACGTGGAGTTTTGGCTTGTTGAATCCTGTGAGTGGGGTTCTTCTTCTTTTCCCTCCCCATCTGGTTTTAAATTCTTTTCCTTCTGCTTCTTTTTTATATTAATAAATTTTTCCGCTTTTGGAACAGAGTCTATTTTATATTTTTTGTCCTGGTAGTTGAAGTTCAGCCCTTCTGGGAATAACCATCTATATGGTATTCCTTTTTTTTTTGCAGAGTTAGAGTGAGCATCCTGTAGAGTTCCCTCCATTTTCTAACTTCAAACGGGATGTCTTTCAAAAATTTTATGTCTTCATTCTTGATTTTTAAGGTTTTTCCCACTGTTGACTTTAGCACCAGTTCTGTGGTAGATCGTTTCGTGAATTTTAGGTAGATTTCCCCTGGGAGTTTACGAAGTCCGGTTAAGTCCTATAAGCCACATCCATCTCTTTTATTAAATCTTCTTGTTTATAATCCATTAATGGGGCCAAGGCAACTGCCAAAAGTTCTTTTAAATCCTCGTTCTTCTTTTCAGGGATCCCATGGAAACGTAGAACGTACATGGATCTTTCCAGCTGGAGCTGTATTAGTTGCGTTTTATCAGAGGAGCTCTCCTTCTCTGCTTCATCCACTCTTTTGTTAATGCTCTCAGTCTTTTTCAACGTTTTCTCAGTTGCTGAGGTTCTTTTTGTCCACTTGGTTCAATTGTTTTTGGACATTGTCCCACTTAATGTTGAGGTTAGTCATCTAATCCATTAGGGGGCGCAGTACATTTGCTAACAGTGAATAAAAGTCTGTAGTTACTTCCTGGTTCTGGGAGGGAGTCATTGGTACATTATTTCTGGCCATCAGTTTTTTCTCCGGTGCCCTCCATCCTCTTCCAGCCATAATATCAACAAGAAGTAATTTTTTCCAAAACAAGACAAAAGTTATGTGATTTAATCCCACTTTGTATACTTTAGCAGTTTTTGCATTCACTTAACTTCTTATGTGCTTCTTTGAGCTCGAAGTCTTTTTATTTCCAATTTAAAACCGTTTTTAAAGTTTACTCAAAAGAAGGGGGGGTGATTGAATTCCTCTCCTCCAGCGCTTCAAACTTAGGTGCTTCCAATTACTACTAAGGTTCAGTTCGCTTTTTTCACATGAGCTTTGCTTAACTCACAGTTTGGAGCCTTGGAGATCTTTTGGAAGTATTTTTAGAAGTTTGATCATGATCGTTTGCTCTGGCAGTTGTCTCTGGGAGCCATGCTGGCTCCACGGCAATGGTACCTTTCAGGGAAGAAGGTGACCCTCAATTCCTTGGCCGTCGCCTTGGAAGAGGCTCTCCTCAGCTCCCCAGGCTGGGGGTCTCATACAGAGAGCCCAGGGAGGTCTGGGATGAATTCGGACCCCTCCTGTCAGCCGGGTCTCGGCGCGTCTCCATCAGAGCGAGGCGGGACGCGTCCGAGTGGTGAAACGCTTAAACCGGAAGTCGATCTAGCTGTTCTGGTAGCTTCAGGGGACAGGGTTCTCTATTGAAGGCAGCTCCGAATTGAAGGCCTGGTGGAAGAGTTCCGTCTTGCAGGACCTGCAGACTTCTGGGAGCTCATTCAACCAAAGAGGAGCTGCCACTGAGAAAGCCCTGTCCCTGGTTATAGCCAGCCTGGCATCCTTGGGTCCGGGGAGGGCTAATTGATGTTGGGACCCTGATCGCAGTGCTCTCTGGGGAACATTTGGGGAAAGGCGGTCCCTCAGGTATGTAGGTCCCTGACCATAAAGGGCTTTAAGGGTAAGAACCAGCACCTTGAAGCGAATTCAGTATGCTACTGGTAGCCAGTGAAATGCCTTCAGCACAGGTTGAATGTGCTCTCACATTGGGAGGCCCATTAAAAGCCTGGCTGTAGCATTTTGCACTTGCTGTAGCTTCTGGATTTGCAACAAGGGCAGCCCCATGTAGAGGGCATTACAGTAGTCCAATCTCGAGGTGATCATTGCGTGGATCACTGTTGCCAAGTCGTTCCGTTCAAGGAAGGGAACCAGCTGCCTGATAATCCAAAGATGGTAAAAGGCAGACTTGGAAGTGGCTGCTACCTGGGCCTCCATTGTTAAGGAGGCGTCCAAGAGCACTCCCAAGCAGTGTTCCCTCTAAGCTGAGTTAGTGTGAGCTAGCTCACAGTTTTTTAGCCTCCGGCTCACACATTTTTGTCTTAGCTCAGGGAGGAGGGCTCCAGAGCAAACTGATTTATGCAGTAGTGAAATCGCTCACTCACCACTTTAATGCCCGTAGCTCACAAAGTAGAATTTTTACTCACAAGAACCCGCAGCTTAGAGGGAGCATTGCTCCCAAGCTCCTAACCTCTGGCACTGGCACCAATGGAGCCCCATAGAAGGTCGGGAGTGGAATCCCTACCCTCGGTCCACCCCAACTCAGGCACAGGACCTCCGTCTTTGTCGGATTCAACTTCAGTCGGCTCAGCCTAAGCCATCTAGCCACGTCTTGTAACGCCCAGTCCAGATCATCCAGTTTAGAGTCAGACCAGCTGCCCAGCAACAATGAATTTTTGTGCAAGTGTACTCTTCCCTAAATGTATATACCCTATTCTAAATTTCCCCTCTATAAATTCAGGAGTGTAACATCTACACTAGCAGAAAAAGAAGTGAAACTGATGGCAGTCTCAAGTACTGATGGGTGCCATGATTTCTCTGATTTAAAATTTTGTGGGGAAAGGGCATTATAACCATAGCAGATAACATGCAAAAAGAAAGCTAAAGAAAATTTTGAAGAAGAGAGTTTATAACATGCTAGAATTTTTACAGTGTGGACATATCCAAAAAATATAAGCACTTTTACTTCCTTTGATTTCATTTGGATATTTAAGGACAAATCTCATTCATTGAAATACCTGAGATTTAAAAATGCTTAATATTGGCTGGATCATGCCCATTAGAAATATCAGAGAGTCAGGTATCACAGTAGCTTATTACTGAAGATTCTGACTGTGTTTCTAAAACATCATCTGTTTCTCCATTGCCATGGCACCCTTTTTATTTAAACAAATCTTAACAAAAATGGTCTGTCAGCAAATACATCTAGAAGCTTTACAAGGTCCCATGGAAATCAGTTTGTGGAATGCAACCAAATAATAAAAACCAGCACAACACATATTCCCTCAATGGTGAATTAGGTCAGATACAAAAATGCATTAGCTTAGCCACCTTATACCTATAATATTATTTCACTGACTTCTTTATGAAAACTGAATATACCACTCAGGTTATTGTTAACTTAAACAGCTCAATGAAATAAACAAAGAAATGGACATTTTAGGGCTGGGAAATCAACCAGGATAAAATTGTTTGCTTCGCAGCTACACCTACCATGGTCAAATAACGTAACCCTAGAAACAAATCCAGTACTTCTTAAATATAGCACGACTAAATCTAAACCTGATTCAGGGGTGGGTGGTAGAGGAGAGGGAGCTTACCAGGCATTCTTAAAAGAGATCTCTGATAACAGTAAATGCCAGTCCTTGATTACACAATCTGGCATGAACATAGAGTTCTCTCTCCTAATGTTTCTAGTACATTGTGCAAGTTTCATGAGCGTATTTTACCTATGTTATGCTGACTCACACCTCTGGGATAGAATATAGCATTCTCTATAAATGAGACATCGAACCATACATTTATAATGTACTTTAAAGATGTACACATATTAATGCTCATGATGAAAAGGTTATAGTTCATGTAATTGAAAGAATCAGATATATTTCAGAATCTTCTGCTAGATTTTATTCTTTAGGATGAAGGATGTCATGTACACCTAGCTGTAGACAACAGAAATGTTTCTGTTTATTTATTTCAGCTTTTGATGGTGTCCTGTTGTTTTTATCCAGTGGTACTGATGCATATACACAGTTCCATACACCCAGCTTGAAAGCAGGTGGAAAATACCTAGGATTTGTTGGGGGGGGGGTCAGCAACAAGTTTTAGCCAGAATTTCTGAGTCTGCACCACAATTGATTTATGATTAGCAAACCAAGAAATGGTTCTCACAGTCTGCAGAATTGTAAATCCTGCAGAATTTATCTTTCATACCAGGATGCAGCATTTATGTTTGTTTTAAAGCACAGTATAGAATTACCTTGCTATTACAGTTCTATATATCACTAGGGGGGGGGGAGAGAGTTGTGTTGCATATTATGGCATAGGGGAGCTACTAATTTTTTTGAAATTCCCAATGTAACTATACATTGCTTCTTCCCAAACATAGAACAGAACAGAATTCTTGCTCTCCAGCGCTACTGAGTAAATTTGTCACCAAGGTTAGAAAAATTGTCATGTGCAGTGCAGGCTCTAAATGGATGATTTCTTCTAGCTTATCCCAGAATGGCACTGACTTGACAAATGTGGGAAAGTCCACAGCTGTGAGATTGGGGCTTAGGCTGTGGGCTCTTGGTCAATTGAAAGGTTGCATTAAATGTAAATTATAGGACTGTTACTCAGATATATACCCTTCTGAACCAGGTGAAAGGCAAACAGGTCCTGCACTAATTCACAGATGAACTTGCTGGCAAAAGCAGACAAGAATGTGGGCAATTATAACCTTCGTCTAGGAAGAAAATATATTCCATATAAATCTGTGCCAAGTTTTATTTTGTTTTTAACTAAAAGTCTGTCTGTATTCTTTGTTCAGTTTACAAACAAGTATCAGCCAATACTGATCCCAGCCACAAATGCCTTTTTGTTAAATATTCTTTGAAATATATTCCCGTGCTTTCTCAGTTTTCTTCTGCTTTGAATATTTACAGCTTATTATTAACATCTGCCAACATCAAAGTGTTATCTGTACAGAAGCCGAAAGGTAAAAAAAAGTCACACACACCCTCTAACATGACCTGTAGTTAGACAGAAAACAGTTTTACCAGTCACTGCTTGGCTTCCTGTCTGTGACCTCTGAAAAGCATTGGAGGCCAGGGTTAATGGCCTTTCCAATCTCTGTGATAAGAATTCATTTTGTTCTATTACCAGCAGTTATCTCAGGAGCCTGCTGCATCACTTCAGCAGGGTTCAATCAATGAGAGGACCTAATGAAGTAACCAGCTGTAGCTCTATTTCACCTGGTCAACTCTATCAGACAAATAAGATCTATCAGTCACACATCTTAAGACCAATCCCAGAAACAGCCATCTCCACAAGCTGAACCTGTATGCATATAAACTAATGATACCACACCATTCCTTTTTCAACTTTTCTTTTAATATGGCTGCTCTTACACTGAAAATGGAATCAAATGCGTTCAAAGATGTTGAAGTAAAAAGAAAAAACACAGAATTAAATTAAAACAAATCCATGGAACATTAAAATGGGGTTATATTAACTAAAAATAGCAAAAAACCTCTCTCTTCAATTCAGTACTGGCTCAGCAATGACAGTGAATGTCACTATTCCAGGACCGGAGAAAGGCTGGGTTCCAGATCATGAGCAAAGGAAAAAGAGCTGTCTCCCTGCACCAAAGCTGGAACTCTACAGACCAGTATAGGCACTGTCTCAGAACATCTGTTAGTCATGTCCAAGTTGCTGGAAATGTTTTGTTTCACTACTTATAAAGATAAGATTGAAAACATACATGTTTGGTTTCACTACTTATAAAGATACTATGATTGAAAACAATAATATGATTGAGCCCACCATATTCAATGGAAGAACTTACTGCTTAAAATAGAGATTGCTCCAAAGCCAGTTTGGTGTAGTGGTTAAGTGCGCAGACTCTAATCTGGGAGAACCTGGTTTGATTCCCCACTCCTCCACTTGCACCTGGTGGGATGACCTTGGGCAAGCTGTTCTTGAAAAAGAGCAGTTTCTGTCAAGAGCTCTCTCAGCCTCACCTACCTCACAGGGTGTCTGTTGTGGGGAGGGGGAGGGAAAAGGAGTTTGTAAGCCGCTCTGAGACACCTTTGGGTAGTGAAGGGTGGGGTATGAATCCAATCTCTTCCTCTTCTTCTCTTCTATATTAGCAGGTTTATTCTTGAATTCAAAAGGGAATTCTTCTCAAAACTGTAAACATTTCAGTACAGAAATGTACAATCTACATGGTCTGTTTACCAATGGCCAGTTCTACTGTGACTCTTGTGTTGTACGTAGGGATATCCTGTTCCTGTTAGTGAACCATAAACAATTCCATGCTGAAAGCCACATGTAGCAGTTTATTAAAACTCAATATCATTATTATGAAAAGAAATGTTTTAACTCAAATCACATTGAAAGGTGATAATGTTATTCATTAGTAATGATAAATACATAGCATATACATATTGAAGTAACTTTTTTAAAAAACCTGCTAGACACAAGAACTTCATAAGCACATACTTATCGGTACCTTCTTTCATTAAACAGTTACAATATGGAAAATCATTAATGGATGACAGTGTGGTACAGTGATAACAATGTTTGATTAGGACTGGGGGGGAATCAGGGTACAAATCCCTCCAACTACAAAGTTCACTAGAAGAC